ACAGGGCCTAAAAGGGGCTCCAGGAGAGCTGGAGAACGACGGACAACAAAGCCAGGAAAAACACAAAACAAAGAACGGCCCACCACCACAAGACAGCAAGGAGGGAGAGGATATTGGGAAGGAATTGCTGTCTGGGAGGGTGGGGAGGGCCTGGAATGGATTTCCCAGAGAAACTGTGGCTGCCCCTGGATCCCTGGAAGTGTCCAAGGCCAAGACTGGAGCAACCTGGGCTAGTGGAAGGTGTCCCTGCCCATGGCAGGGGGTGGAATTAGATGATTTTTCATGTCCCTTCCCACCCAAACCACTCCGGGCTTCTTTGACATTCTCTGCAAACGTGGCATGTCCATACTGAAATTTTAACGTTCCGAGCAAGATGGAAAACTCAGAGCGCTCCTAATGTTTGCTCAAACTTCAAATGCCTGCAGAAAATTCCAGCTTTGTGGCTCACCTAATTCCCTCCCATTTTGCAGGCTGACATTTCAGGCTCCATTTCGGAGACGTTGAGCTGTGTCACTAATGGCCCTGTCTCAGACACCCACGTGCAGTGGCATTCAGGTGGGCACAGCCCATTGCTGGCACAGCATGAGGGCATCATTAGCTCTGTGACAAATATCCCTTTGTTGCCAAGTTATCCTTATTTTTCTTTGTTTTTAATTTTTTTCTTTTTTTTCCTCCCCCCTCCCCATAATTTATTACTGAGCAGATTTAAATCAGCCAACTCTGCTCCCAGAAAGAAACTGCTACAACAAAAAACACTCGCTGAGAGAGCTGTGAAAGTTTGGGTTATTTTTCTGGTGCTAATAAATGTGGAATTAGACTTTCTTGACTTATATAATTAAAAAAACAAAACAACAGCCAAATCCTTGAACCCAGTGAAGGATTTCTTGCATTGTGACATCACCGGAGCGACGGTCCAGATGGTGCCTGGAGTGTGGAATGTGCTGGGAAGTTGTGGATCAGTGAGCAGGGGTGGTTGGTCCTGTACTCAGTGCTCAGTGCAATGATGTTGTGGGCACTTCCACACACTTGGAAATCCTCAGGGCTCTCTGGGAATGAGGATTTACAGCTCATTCTCTCTGATGGGGTGGAGAGTCTTCTTCTCTCCGAGTCTGCTCGTGTGGATTCGCAAGTTCAGCTCTTCTTGGAGAGGTTCTGCGAACTGCAGCTCTGGGAATCATAAGGAGGAAAAAAAAAAAAGGCATTATTTCCACTTTTTGTGGAATTAAGGAAAGGTTTGGGTTGGAAGGGACATGAAAGATCATCTTGTTCCAACCTGAACGCCTTCCATTATCCCAGGTTGCTCCGACCTGGCCTTGGACACTTCCAGGGATCCAGGGGCAGCCACAGCTTCTCTGGGAAATCCATTCCAGTCCCTCCCCACCCTCCCAGCCAGCAATTCCTTCCCAATATCCCATCTATCCCTGCCCTCTGGCACTGGGAAGCCATTCCCTGTGTCCTGTCCCTCCAGGCTTTGTCCCCAGTCCCTCTCCAGCTCTCCTGGAGCCCCTTTAGGCTCTGGAAGGGGCTCTCAGCTCTCCCTGGAGCCTTCCCTTCTCCAAGTGAACATTCCCAGCTCTCCAAGCCTGGCTCCAGAGCAGAGGGAATCCAGCCCTTGGAGCAGCTCCATGTTTTTTTCTGGTCTCCCTCCAACAGGTTCATGTCCTTCCTTCATTTGCAACCTGGGATAGTGGAAGGTGTCCCTGCCCATGGGAGAGGATGGATGGAACAAGATGAGCTTCCCTTCCAACCCAAACCATTCCATGATTCTCTGCTCCCTGTTTCCTGCAGAGCTGCCTGGTCTTGGATTGTTTGGAGGAACGATCGTTCCCCTCCCCGTGGGAGATACCCTTGATAGAATCAAGAAGGGCAAAGGGATATTCTTGGTGTATTTTTATGGACATTCCTGGTGGTTCTCCAGCACAGGGAATTGCCTTTGGTGGATGAATCCAGTCCCATTGGCTGCTCCATGTAAATACACATTTCAGACCTTGTGGGAGAGTCCTCAGGGGGGATTTGCTCCCAAATATACAGACAGAGGGATCATGTCCCCTCTCCTGCTCCACCTGGGGCTTTTCTCCAGTGTCAGCCACCACAAAGCTCCAGCATGGAGAGAGGAGAAGGTGAGAGGAGCAGTGGAGCCTGCTGGAATCCTCAGGATTGATTGGTGTCTAGGAGCCATCATCAGGAACAAGATTTACATCTCAACATGTTTTTCAAGGCAAAACCCCTCGATATTTTAAAAGACTGAAAAACAGAACAGCTTTTCCTCGTGCCTCCCACCTCCCCCCAGAGCCTCTGTGGCGATTAATTAAAAACCCAGAGCCAGGAAGATGTAAAATCACCTTTTTCCCTCCCTGTTCCAACATTCTGTTCCACTCCAATCCCTCAGAGCAAGGCCGAGCGGATCAGGTGGATCGTTTCGTTCCTGGCTGTGGAGGAATGAAACATGGAGGGCCCAATCAATAATATCGATTAGTGCAGGGTGACTTGGTGTGACAAGAATCACAGCCCTTCCTTAATTCCGGCCTGCATTTCCTCCTTTCATGCCTCAGCAGCTCGTGCTCGGATGAATCCTCCGATAAGTCTGTAAAGACACAGAGACCCCGCTGGAAATTGCAGGATCTGACATTAACAGGGGAAATGAATAATTTTCTTTTCCTTGAACTCACACCTCTTTTTTTATTTAGTTTCTTTTTTTAAGCTGTCACATCGTGTGAGTTCGATTCAGGAAATTCACGGCTTTTTTTTTTTTTTTTAAGAGCTTCCTCTTTCTAAATACAGTCAGTAAAGCTGAATTAACTCTGCCTTCAGCTGCTTTTTGCTTCCTGAATCCTTGTGTTGGTGTAGGATTTACCAGGAGGCTTCCACATCCCAGCACCGCGTTGGAGGAGCTGAGTCAGCTGTGGAAATGCTGTGACTGCAGATATCCCGAGTTTCCCTGGATTTCTTGGGAAACCTCACCAAAACAGCATCTTAAATCCACTGCTGGGATGGGAACTCTTGTAGAAAACACTCCTGGGATGGGAATTCCTGTAAGAAACACTCCTGACCTGGAGGGACCTTTTGGGATATGGAGGAGCTGGTGCTGTGACCTGCTCAGTCCTCGGGTTTTGCTGTGAGGTTGCTACAGGAGGGGCAAATAAATCCAATAAATCCAGCCATCAAAGAGCTTATTTTTTTGCAGGTAATGTCCTAAGGCAGATAAACTTCCCTTTGGAAAGAAGGTTGGAGGCACTTTCTTCCCCTCACACCCTTTCCAGTTTGGAGACTTTCTTCTTGTTTCAAGGCAGACACACGTCAGGGTCAAAAACTTCCATAACCTGCTGGTGGAGCTTTGATTTTCAAGGACTTTGTCGTTTCCCTGCACCTCTAAAGCTGCCCCAATAATGTGATGAGCTCCTGTATTTATTATTATCAATCCCTGAGGAAGAGTTCACGTGAAAAACGGGAAAGGCTTCGTAATCTTTGGGATGTACAAACTTTGCCCGAGTTCGTTTTTTGGGGTTCTTTGAGGTTTTCTGCCAAAACCCCAGAGTTGATGGGGTTGTTTGTGGGAGGGTGGCAGCACATGATGATAATCCCCCTGCAGAGCTGCCTCCAGCCCTGGGAACAACATTCCTGAAGGATGTGGAGCTGCTGGAAAGACTCCAGAGGAGGCCCCGGAGCTGCTCCCAAGGCTGGAGCCCCTCTGCTCTGGAACCAGGCTGGGAGAGCTGGGAATGTTCCCCTGGAGAAAAAAAGGCTCCAGGGAGAGCTGAGAGCCCCTTGCAGGGCCTAAAGGGGCTCCAGGAGAGCTGGAGAGGGACTGGAGACAAGGCCTGGAGGGACAGGACACAGGGAATGGCTTCAGACTGGGTTTGACTGGATATTGGGAAGGAATTGCTGTCTGGGAGGGTGGGGAGGCCCTGCCCCAGGTTGCCCAGAGAAGCTGTGGCTGCCCCTGGATCCCTGGAAGTGTCCAAGGACAGGATGGAGCAACCTGGGCTAGTGGAAAGTGTCCCTGCCCATGGCAGGGAGATGGAACTGGATAATCTTTCAGGTCCATTCCCACCCAAACCATTCCATGGTGCAGCATCTGGCCCGCTGTCCTAGAAATGTTTTCTTCTGCAATGGTTTTACAAGTGGATTTTGTTGCTCTCAGGACATTCAAAAGTTTCAGGAAGTTGGTATTTCCCCCCCACCTCTTTTCTCTTTCAATATCCAAATTTAACATCCTTTGGGAGCTGCCTCTGGAAGTACCTTTGGTTTGGCTGCAGTGACACACAGGTTGATGTTTTCCTGCCGCTCCAAATCCTGCTCTGTGGGGCTGTGGTGCACAAATAACGTTGTCCTGAGCTGTGTTTCGCTGCAAAGGAGCTGCCAAACCCACAAATGGGTTTTTCCTGTAGCTGGGACCCTGTTTGTACCCAATTGGAACTCAGGGAATGGAGTCTCCTGCTCGGGAATCCCAAATTCAGTGCAGGAAGCGAACCCCTGAGAGACCTGGAAATGTTAAATATAATTCATGAGTTAAAATGCCAGGTCACTGGCAATCAAAACCAAGCGTCTTCCAGGTGGAATTGTGGAATCCTCAGATGTGCAGGACCTGGAAGCAGCAAGATTCAGGGAAGTGCTGCTCTTCAAACCCTTTCCAAGCCCCGTGGGCTTCGAAACACATCTGAGCCCCGTGGACAAGACATTGGGGGTTTATTGCACAAGATGCAGGACCTGGACTTCGTGGTCTTCCTGCAATACTTCCACTAATTTTGGGGAGTAGAAATAATGTTTAAAAACATCTCGACCCCACCTGTATTGTCCCCACTGCTTCAGCAGTGCTTGCTGCGAGCAAGAGGGGGGGACAGGGGAGCGTGTCTTCACGTTAATTACTGATCTTTCATCAGGAAAGAAGCCTCTAATTCATGTTTAATTATCACTTGCTAAGCGTTTAATTATCACTTGCTATCTAAAAACCAGGGGCTGCTGAGCTCTGTTAGCCAACTTTGTTTGATGTTATTTTCCAGGAGGACCGGATGATAACTTAATTGAAGGTGGCGGATCCAAGTTTGTCTGCAAACCGGGAGCCAGGAACATCACCGTCATCTTTCATCCCCTCCTCAGGTAAAATTCAGGTTTTCCACATGCTCCTACAGGTGCAAACCATTAGAATTAAGTAGGATTAACCTTCTGGAATTAACCTTCTCCGCGGGGATGGTGCCGCTTCCGTCCCAGAGCAGCGGCCTCGCTCTGGAGTTGTTGGTGTGCAGATGTTTTAAAAAAATCATCATTAATTCAGCTTCTTGGCGATGTTTTTAAACCTTTTTTTGAAGTGAACTCTGATGCCAGGTGGGATTCCCTGCCTGGGCGAGCCCGTTTCGCTTCCCAGTGTCGTTTATTACCGACGAGGTAGAATTTATTTGCGACCTGCCACGAGTTGTTTGTCTCTTCCTGGCCTTTGTGCTCCTTAAAAAAACTCAGAGGATGCTCTGACGAACTGCAAGGCGAGTCCAGGCTTTGATAAAACAAGTGTGATCTGGCAAATCAATGCCTGATCCCAGGTGATTCCCAAAATCCTCACAGCTGGAACCTTAAACAGAGCAGGTCTTTAATGAGCTTTTTCTCACCGCGTCGTTCTCCTCTGGTTGCTTGAGTTTTGCTCTTTTTTTGCTTTGCAGTCAAACAGTCCCTGGGGTTGGTTTTGTTGGAATTAATTGTTGGAATTAAACACTACAATGTTTGCCTCGGTTCGTGTCGATCTCCCACCTCTGCTTTTCCCTGCCAAGGGTTTTCCTTCCTCATCAGGGATGTCCTTTCCCACTCAGCACCAGCAGCTTTAGAGCGTTTCCCCCCTTGGCTCTGCTTTTATTACTCGCTGTCACGAGCCACTGAACAACCAGGGGATTGCCTCCCATCATAAAACAGCAATAAAAAATAATTCAGTCTTATCCCCAAGGGGAAGGAATGTCCGACTAACCTCAGTTCTCAGCCCTCAAAAAGATGATTTTTAAAGCTATTTGTAACTTCTCAGCACTTAAAAAATACAGATAGAGAATCCATAAACTCCTCCAGATCTAGATTTCTGATTTCATGACACCAAATATTGGAATAATCTTGAGAAAGCACTAAAATTTGGTGTGGTCTTTAAGGGCTTTCCTTGGAAAAAGGGTTGTGTCCATGGTACCCTCTGTTTATTGCTGGATGTCCATAAACGAAATGGAGAATTCCCCAAGCAGATTTCATTTCAACCTCTGTCTCTTCCCAACTAAAGAAACGCCCAAAAAATGAAATTTGCTGCCGTATAAATTTATATTTTTCAGCCATTTTACTGTGGGAAAAGATGGGCGACGGTTGAGATGCTCTTCAATCGATATTTCTTCAATTTCTCAATTTTTTAAAATGAATTTACAGGTGCCTTCCAAGCACAGAGGGGGGGTGATGCTCTTGGTTTTATTGATGACATATTTCCCATTGATTTAGATTCTTTGCCTTCCCGCTTCATTTCCCCCCCTTTTTTTCTCCTCAAACCTGAGTGCTCTGCTTTAAAATAACACCTCTCACAAACACTTCACTCTTCATTACCGAGCCTGCAAGAGGGGCAGGAGGAATACTTTGCCTCCTAAAAAAAATAATTGCAGCATCCTCACTTCCCTGTGCCCAGTTTTCCATCGGCAGCCGCGGGAGGAGAAGGAAAACAGGCCGTGACCCAGCCTGGCCTTTTCCCCCTGCAGGATGGGGGGGATTTGGGGTTGGGGTGAGGGCTGTAGGAACTATTTTAATGTGATTTTACCAATTTTAATCACTGACACAGTGAGTGCTGAGTCCTTGTTGTCTTAGATTTGGTTTTGGCTCCTCAGCTTTGGCTCCTCAACTCTGGCTAAAATATTTCGATGGTGCAATAATTCCCAGCACTTGGAATATTAGAATCCTCATCTTCCCTGTGCATTCCTCGTTGGTCAGATCTTTGCTTGGCCCTTTTCTGAACGTTCCTGTCTGAATTCCCAACTCTCCCTAGAGGGAATTCCTGCAAAGGTGTGAAGTTTTCACTTGTTTTGACTTTGCCATTTGCTGCCGGGGTCGTCTTTCATCCCTGTCCCTTGTACCTGCTTCAGATGAGTCTGCTTTGAATTCAAAATGATCAATATTTTATTCACAAGTGAGGGGTTTTTTCCTTATTTTTACCAAGTTCCCATAAATCTGTTGCCAGGTGGACTGATTTTTCTTAGGAAGCTCAGTGCTCCTGGAAGTACTGAGCAAACTGGATTTCTGGCCCCCTGTGGGATGATTTAAAGCCTGGCTTTTAAAATAGAATTCAGCCCCAAAATCTGGAGAGTTGTAACCAGAACATTCATATCCATCAGTCTGAGTTCCCCTCTCTTGTCCTCCTGATATGAGAAGTGTCACTGTCCATCACATCAGAGGGGCACAAGCACAAGGGGTAAATTTGCTGCTTAAAAAGCCTTTTTTTGATCCTTTTTTATTTACAAGCTCAGCTCCAGATCCTTTTGAAGACACAGGTTCAACAGGCTTTTTTTTGGGGGGGGAGCTGTAAATTAACCCCCTTATCCCCCCATGACCAACGTTTGTTTAGAGAAATTAGAATTTACAACCACGGGGAGCGTAAAGGGAAATACTCAGAAATGGTTTTCAAAGCTTCCCTTCCCTTGGAATTCATTTAGAGCAACAAACCAGAGGTGGGAAGTGAGGTTTTGGGATGTGGGTCCCCTGATTTCCACCAGGACAACTGAGACCCACCAAGGCCCAGATTAATTACCAGGATTTAACGACGCTCCACACACATAAGAAACAGAAACGAGGAGTGAATTTCTGAAAGACAAGGGGGAGGTGATTCCTGGGAAGTAGATTTTCCTGATGGAAAATTCCAAATTGGAGCAGGACACGTGTCTGATTTCCCTTAATTACTTTTTGTGGGAGGTGTTGAAGTATAAAAGTTACCAAAATTGGAGTCCAGTTCATCCTTCGCTGTTAACCAGCGTTTCCTTGGCTTGGGAAAGCACTGGTGCTGCTGGTCTGAGGAATAACATCTCCCACTGGAGGAAGGAATCCTGCAGGACCAAATCCTGGAATCTGGAGCAGCCTGAGCGATGTCTGGTGTGACATTTGTTTGGTGGGGATTTTTTTTTTCCTTCCCTCTCTCTCTCTCTCTCTCTCTCTCTCTGTGTTTTATCGTTAATGTTTATTTGTTTCAGCTGGCATTTGAAAGGCACTTGGCTCCTGAGGGTAATAATCCTTTTACATATGCTTTATAGAGTGTGTTTATTACCAGACAATTGAAGAACAGATGTCTGCAGTCTTGGGAGGGGGGATGGAGGGGATGGAGGGCGATGGGAACTCAGCGGAACGTGGTTTGGATGTTGGATATCGAGGCCGCCAGGGCTTCCATTTATTACCATCAGCCACACCTCATTAAGATCAAGCAGCAATTAAAAGGGCTTGGGGGATGATTTGGAAAAATCTGGGAGAGGTTGTGACCTTGGGAAGGAGGATGGAGGAGCTGAATTGGCTCGGCAGCCTCTCCCTCTCCACGGGGGTGTTTTTGGGGGGAATCTCCCTTTTTGGCGATGTCCAAATCACCGCCCTGGATTTCAGAGCCTGGAGAGCAAGGGGAAAAACAAAGAGTTGGTGTGTTGGGGTAGGGGAAAAAAAAAAAAAAAGAAAGAAAAAGGAGGAAAAGCCAAATCCCTGCTTTGCCTCTGCTGGTGTTGTTTGGGATGCAAAGTTTAACGCTCCAGTTTGCTGCTGCTTGGATTTTGGATTGATGGCAGTGGAGGGAAAAGAGAAGGTAATAATTTGACATTTTAATTTAAAATGGAATGCTTGTTGCTACAAGTCTCCATCATTGTAAGCAGGAGGCTTTTCACTTTGGAATTAACCTGTTTTTTCCAGTTGTGTTAATTCCAAAAAAAAAAAAATAAAAAGAGTGATTACTCTTTAAATAAATAAAATAAATGATTTGGGGATTAATCGAGGAGGAAAGTGTTGACTTTTACTGCCTGTTGATATGTCAGCAACTGGTGGCAATCAGCTCTGAGCTGCTGAAGGTCCAGTTGCAGATTCCAGGGATTCCCTCTCCTTGGGAAGGAGGTGGCCAACGTGCAGAACACGTGCACACACCCAGGTGCACAAATATTGGCAGTTTTATGGGAATAATTCTATTTATTTTGGGTTGTGTCGAGATGAAAGGTGCTGTGTGTAGAATCTAAACCCTCTGCTGCTTTTGGAAATCTTGGGGAGGGAACAGCAAAGTTGGGACATCAAAGTCTTGGAGCATCAGCTGCTGCTGCAGCTGAGCAGGTTCCAAAACCTCATGACTCTTAATTGATATAAAACTCTGTGTTTAACCTTACTGAAAACCCCTTTTATTAGTATATCCGTACAGCTAGAATAATAAACAGCTAATTTTATTTTAACTACAATGTCTTGTAGTTGCACACCACAGAATTAATATTTGACCATATGGGGATTGTGTTACTTGGGAAGCAAAAGGAGTGGCAAAATTAGTTTGTGAGTTACATTTAGACTGTGTTAAATGGCACCAAATAGGTTAAGAAAAAGATGTGGTATTTTATCAGTCTAAGGGTTCCACATTATTATTGAAGGAGGTGGAAAATGTCAAAGCCTCCTACGGCACAAATAGTGCTAAATAATGAGAGCTGATGCCTTCAGCTTTTTGAATCAAACCCAAACCACTTGATTTTAGAGAAATCAATAAAAAACTGACTCAAGCTGGGAGAGGGAACTTGTAGTATTGACTGCTGCAAGTTTGAGTTTGAGTTTGAGTAATGAGCAGAGGGTCAGGGGGTTCAGGAAAAGAAAATATCTGACGTGCTGGTTTTGTGCACAGGAAACGTCGTTTGCAAACTTTTAAATGCAGTGACTCCTTAAAAATAAAAGCCTCCAGATTTCATGGAGTCTTACATTCAGACTTATCTTTAAAGAGGGGGGAAAAATATCATTTAGTTAATCCAAATCTGGCTCCTGCAAGGTAGGGTTGGTCCTCCCTTGGAGAGGAGGCTCCAGGGCAGGGTGATGGTGCCTCTCTGCTGGTTCTGTGATGTGGTGGGACAGGTGAGGGCCAGATCAGGAGATCATGGAATTGTTGA